TTTTGCTCATAAAAGAGAGCCAAAATAGTTAACTTGATTCAGCAACAAAACTATCTTCTTCTTAACCTTGTGAACTAGATAGAGCAACAAAATATGGTCAAATTCAAAAACAAATATGATGTGTTTTCACTTTTTTTATAATCTTCCACTTTGTCGAAGATCCCAGTAGAGGATAAGAAAAGAAAAGAGAGAAACAAATCAAAGAGCAGATCTGTAAAGTAATCAAAGCTAAGAAAATATGGAAGTATACGATCATGAAGTATGAACTGAGCAATTTACCTGCTGCAGACCTCAGCCACAATTATATTACCGCAGTTGAAATTCCCACGAAGAAGAGGGAGAAGCAAGAGGGTCAAAAGATTTACTCCTAAGAGTGTCTTTCAAGATTGTTATCTGACCTTCCTTCATCAGACTTTCCTCTTCCAATGTCTCTATCTTTGATTTCAACTCATCAACTTGTGAGTTCAGTAGCATGTTGTTTTCCCTGTATTTGTTTCCTTCCTCCCACACCATGTCTCTCTCCTTTGAAATTTTCTCTAGTATGTCCCTTAGAGTTTCTAATTCCCTTGTAGACTCCTCGAACCCGTTTTGTAACTTGAATATGTCGTCATTTTTCTTCAGCAACTGTAAGAGAGAGAGACCGAGCTATTAGATTTCGACCAAGTCTAGATATCTTGGAAACATGGGATCAATAAATAATGTGTTCATATGCTGCATCGCGTAACTCGAAAGAGAAAATTGATATAGCATAAAATCAAGAATGCTAGGGAGGAGGAGGAGAAGACAAAATCAGGGGATAGAAGCAGAGAAATATAGAAAGAAAGAGAAGGATGATAAAAGAGGCTAGCTAGTTATTATGAAGTGTTTAATAACGTTTTCGTTTCTCGTTTTTTATTTCTCATTTCCAGTCTTTTAGAAATATAAGCATTTCATATTTTTCATTTCTTATTTTTAAGAAACGTCTTTTAAATTGTCTAAAAATTTTAGACACAACAAAATCAAGTTTCTTGTTCTCGTTACCAGTTTTATTCCAAAACATAAATAAAAACATTATTTTATCATTCTTAACTTATAAAATACCAAATAAATATTAAAAAATAAATATAACATGAAATTCTTGAATATTTAATTTAAAAAATTAATTTCATATATAAAAGATTAAATTTTTGTTAGTTAATTATAGCAAATGAGAAATAAAATAAAAAAAGTTATCAAAACATGAAAAAAAAATAAAATAAACAACAAGAAATCATTGTTATACGTAATTTTGTTTTCATTTATTAAAAAAATAAACGAGAAATAAAAAAAAAACAAAAACAATAAACAATAAATAGAACCGTTACCAAATGGATCCTACATTTTATGAGTAGTCACCTAGAATACAGTGGTCTACAGCCCAACCAAAATTATAACACAGTCAACGAAAATTTTGTGGAACCATAATTATCAATCAAAATTGATATTGAACATGATGGGTTGAAAATGACACATATTAGAACATGTTTAAGATTGGTACTACCTTGACATTCAACAAAAACTCTCTTCAAGGTAAAGTTGACATTAAGAAACTACCTGAAGTTCAAGGTCTTTCATCTTATGGGTGAGGCAGGAAAGGCTATCCATTTGATTCTGTACTTCACATTTCAATATGTCATTCCCTCTTACTGCTGTCACCAGTTCAGCTTGCAACTGCTCCACTTCCAGCTCCTTAGAGTACAGTTTCTCTCTTAATAGGCTAGTTAATAAAGTTTCTGCTTTAAGCTCAGATCTTAAAACATCCTACAAAGTAAAAGAAAACTGTAAATGTCGCAGCCATGGTAAAGAAACAAGTTGTAAAACCAGAAAAAATCCACATGGATTAACCTCATAAGAATTTCTTTCCGATAGAAACAACTTGAAACTAACCCTACGATTTATAATTTTAATTTTTCTGAAAAAAAAAAAGAAAACAAGAATTTGCATTCAGTATAATGTTCCATTTCCAGGGACAGAATCAGAAACTACTCACCTCAGGATATTGACTATTTATTTGCAGTGCATTGTCTACACCTGAACTCTGAGAAGTGGGATTAGACTTTGCTTGCAACACCATAGATGTTCTGTGTAAACTCATTGTCAGGCTCTCAATCCCGTGCTTGAAGCCCTGAATTTTCGTTTCAGATTCAACAAAAAATTGTCCATCTAAACCATTCTTCATATGCTCCATTCTATGCTTAGTTTGTTGAAGTTGACCAACTTTCTCTTTGATGAACTCAAGTAACTTGGAACAAAATTGAGTACTCTCCTTTAATAATACCAGACCTTGATTTTGAAGATGGTAAACACGACTTGACATTTCATTATCTAACTTGAAGTTTATAGCACCACTCTCATTCCCATTGTCTTTTAAGCGAGTCAATATATTTATATTCTCATGCCGAAGAGAATCAACTTCAACCCTGTAAGATTCTAACTCCTTTCTCAAAGCCATTTCCACCCCTGTTAATCTCATTTGTTCCATCTTCAACTTTTCGAAATGCTTATCAAATTTCTCCACTGGTTGAATATTAACAAATTGCTCGCTTAATCTTTCTCTTAAACCATCAATAGTCTTCTCTTGTTCACTGCAGGTCCTTGATAACCTTGTGATTGATTTATGCAACTCCCTGCACTCCTTCTCTTTCTCCTCAAAATTCTTTCTGATGCAATCCATACCTTCTGTTGCTCCCCTGTAATCCTCTTCTAATTTAGAGAGGTTTAACTGTAAATAGTTATTTTGTTCATTCTTTTCATCAATTCTAGTTGTCAGGTCTAGTACATTTTGCTCTAGATTAGTTATCGTGCTTTTATTCTCTGTTTCAGTCTTGTTTAAAGAAGAAACCTCTCTTTGAAGTGAGACATTCTGTTCAGCTAGCTCTCTAACTCGCCCCCTCAGCCCCTGCTCCTCTAACTTGTACTTCTCAAGCTTGAATGACCAGTCACTTGACCTTCTGTCTAGCTCCTTCTCCAGTCCCAACTGCAGCTCAGTTTTTTCCTTCTCTAGTTTCCGTGTTCTGGAGTCCAATTCTGCATTTGCCTGTCTGAGCTCTTCTTTGGCAGATTCCCTATCGGCAATGCGAGACTGTAGAAGGCTTGAAATTTCAAGTGCCAAAGTGAACCTATCCTCGGAGAGATTTTTAATTACCTGGATCAGATCTGACACATCAAATTTTCTATATTGAACAAAGCGTTCCTGCTCAAGTTCTTCAGACAGAAACATAATCCTCTCATCTGCTTCTTTAACGCTTCTTTGCAATTCTCCATCCAAGTCCCCATCAGTTTCACCAGACTTGCATCCTTCATACATACGTCCAGGGGAAATTTTTTGTTTGTGAAAGCCTGAAAGTTCCTCTGTATGAGGGCCGCTAACTGTTTCACATGGTTCGTCTGTTGGAAAGCATGGTCTGGTCACCACATCTAAGTTAGGGTCATAACATCCGTTCAAAGATTGATTTTGAATATCTGTAGTTCTGATAGGTACGTTTTCGCCAAGCTCCTTCGAGGTTGCTTTAGGCAGAACATGATACTGTGAGAGTCTGTCAACAACGTTCTTTGCAATACTTCGAGGTGATTCATTCCCAAATCCATATTCTCCCAATTCTCTAGACGAGAAACGAGAATGAGAACTTTTAACTTCCCTGGATGAATATGATCTTGGTTTATCTTTAATGCTAGCTGTTGGTGAAGAGGGTGTCAGACACTGAGCTCGAGGAGGCCGCCACCCATTATTCTTCTGAGAATACTTATTCTTGGATCCGCTTATTTCCTGGTGTTGTTCACCATCAATGTAGCGGTCTAATACCCTATTTGAAACATTACTGGAGCTAGTGGAAGAATTCCCTGAAGAATCATAGCAAGTTTTGGAGCATGGCCTTACAGGTCCGGTATAGTAATCATTTGGCACTTCCATCTGCTTTACCTTGAATTGCATTTCCCAAGTTGGACCCTGGCAACTATCAGAAACCACCAGATCACAAATTAAACTTAAGACTACGATGGTAAAAGTAAAACTAAATAAAACTGATAATATGGTGCTGTATAGAGAATTCTGTACTCAATTTTCATCAAACTATATAGATGACCTCTGATTTTTCAGAATAAATATCCTTACCGAGATGATTGTTCGTGTTGCCGTTGTGAGCCAGGTGATCTACTTGGATCACTCGGACCATAAAAGTTCATTTGACCTTGGTCTCCGAATGCAGCTGAAGACAATGACCGAGTCCTTCTAAGTTTAGGACTGGTGCTGGATCTTTCAATATCATTTGTTTGCATCCCAGATTTGGAAGAAAAATGCTTGGTACTTTGTGGACTACTTCCAGCCTTATCCCCAATAGAGTTATTCATCCTACTCTCCAATGGATGTTCCCAATAAGCTTTGCAGTCATTTGTTGATGGAGGAGCTATGTTATGTTTGGATCTAAAAAAGAACTTCTTCATCTTCGGTTCTCACTGTTGATCATTGAAGTTTCTGACCTTCAATCCCAATATTTTTGTCTCAATACCATATCAAATTCAATCACTCTGGACCTAAATAAAAAGACAATCATAACCAAGGAAGCAAACAGCAGAAATGGTTTAGGATCTCGGTAAGAAATACGCATGCTCGAAGAATAAATACAAAATTCTACTGATCAAGACGATGAGATTTTCAAGATATAGAAGGAATAAGGATGACAGAGAGACTGATTCGCTGACGAACTTGACTAGGAAATTACCCAACAGGAAATAATTTTCACTTCTCCAAATTCAAACTGCGAAAAATTTACAAAGAAAACAACTCAATATCAAAATTCATGAACGTGCATATCATCTTTACATAAAAGCGCGTTTCATAGAATCCAGATTTTCGATCATATGCTCTAGAAGAATTAAAAGAACAACGGCTAGAAAATTACAACTCGATAACAAAACCAAAACCGAACATCGAAGAAATCAGCTCTGAACGAGTCAATTTCCATTATGGCCGGTACAATTTCTTTCAATCAATAAAGAAACTCCATAAAAACAGCAAATCGAATAGAAACCACACACTCTCACTCAACTCACTCTTCGATACCGCAACAGCAACAAACAAAAGAAATCCTCCGCAACTTCATCAGACAAAAGAGATTCATCAGAAAGAATAAGAAAATCAAGTAGAATCTCCACAAATAATTTCACACTGATTGCAGAAATCAAAACAGTCATAAATTCGTGAACAGACCGATAGTCTCCGGGTTGTTTCTCCGCCGAATTCAAAATTCAAATCACCAAAGACAACTCATGATTCCGAATATTGAGGGAACTTGCAATTAAGAATTGAATTGAATGCTGGAAGAGTTGGCAGTATTGCATGGCCGGCGGCACAGCAGTTACAGTTGTGGCGGGGATTGACTGTGATTGAACGTTTGATGACTAAATTACATCCCAAAAATGAGTGAGAATTGAGATTCAATGAGAGAATTGCGTCCAAACGTTCAGTGCAAAGATTTCTCTTCCTTTTTTTTCCTTCTCTCATCTGACTGTTTGAAAAATGGAAAGGGTAGTTTCGTCCGGAAAGTATATTTAAATTTTAGGTGCCGCTAATAATGCGGAAGAGGAGCGGGATTTGCTGGGTAATGATAGAGTGAGGGCGGGTACACCTTCTTTCTCCAGCGATTTGGGAAATTTCTTTTTTTTTTCAATTCCATTTAAGAATTTATTATTATTATTGTTTTTTTTTTCTTTTAATTGAGTACCACGCGTGGGTGAAGATTTGAACACGTGGCCGCTTTTTAGTATAACTTTTAATTTTTTTATTTTAGTATCTGTACTCTCAAAAAAGATATATTTTTATCTTTATATTTCTCATTTTTTTTCGTTTTAGTCTCTAAACTTTTGGAAAGTTCATTTTGGTTGATGTATTCAGGTGATAGTTTAGGTCCATTCATTTTTATTTTTATCTCATTTAGCAAGACACTTCACTCCTTATATCTTTTGAAATGTAATCATATTTTTTTTAGTACAACATGTGAAGGTAGGAGATCGAACTCACAATCTTGATATATATTTTAGTTGAGCTGTGCTCGCTTTGACAAATGTAGTCATACTTTTGATTTCTAATAAGTTAAATTTTGTAGATATTTAACCAAGATAATCACTTTTTAAAAATATATTAACCAAAATAGACTCACAACTTTTTGATTGGAGATAGGCGAATTTTGTACTAGTGACTTCAAATTATTTCTTATAACATAACCCTTTNAACAAGAAGGGTGAATTTTGATTTAGTGGTCATCTAAATTAATATTTTTGTGAGATTCTAGGTGGTGCGCGATTCTTTCCTGTATCAATTGCTAATTTTTTTGTCATTTAGATTCATGGCAATTTGGAAGTTTATTTAATTAGGGTTGAAACTCTCACTTTTTCTCTTCTTTCAAACAAATTTTAGTAATTTTCATTTTTATATTATGAATCCCATTAGGTCTAATTCATAGCATTTTGATTTTATTATGCCTAACTACATATTTACCATACAAACATGTTAGATCAAGTTGGCAAAATTTAGATTAATTTGTTGTTACATGCTTACAACAAAAATGATTTAATGAGACCAAAGTAAATATAGTTCAGCGACAATCGACACATATTCTAATAAAAATATTGTGAGTTCGATCCTTCGTCTCCACGTATTGTAAAAAAATATATATATATTAAACGAGACTTTAATAATAATAGTTTAATTCAAAATTAAAAGTTTTATATTTCCTTAAACAACTATTGAATTTACATTTTGACATATGTTTTCTGATTTCTCTCTCATGGGAAAATAATTAATTACGAAAACTAAAAACTTTATTTGGGAAAATGAAAACAAAGAAGGAGACATGAATAAAGGGTGTAATGGTCCATGGATAGAATCCAGCTTGGGAATTAATTGGATAATTTCATTACTCTCCTGCAATCTTCTTATCATTATTTGGTTCTTTGCAACTTTTACATTTTTCTTCTCAGACACATAATTTTGTAATTAAATATTTTATATTTTATTATTATTTTTTTGTTTATTTGTACTATTAATAATTTGTCTTCTAATAACAAATTTATAAACTTCTGATTTTATTATAATTGTTACAATTTTTTGTTTAATTTTATAATTATTAAAATAAAACATTATTATTTAATATTATAACAACAAAATTTAAATAATACTAGTTAGTATCACGTGCATTGCACGTGGTTATAAATATTTTAATATAATATTTCTAACAATTTAACATATAGAATAACAACTCGTAACTTTTAAATGTACTAATATTTTGTTTCAAATCAAATATATTTAATATAATATTTCTACCAGTTTAATATATAGAATAACAACCCAACAGAACTTTTAAATGGTATTAATATTTTGTTTCAAATCAAATATATTATTATTTGTTGACATTTTCAATAAAAAAAAGTACAGTCTTCAAACTAAAATAATAAAACAAGAGGTATAAAAAACATTGAATATACTGTCAATTTGAAAAATGTGGTTATCGATTTTTGATAATCAAGTCTATTGTTAATTGAGATATAATAAATTAAATCAAATTATGTAACTAAAAATTCGAAACAGTAGTGAAATAATTTGTTAGATTGTTAAAATTATAATTAAATATTAAATGATTGGAACAAATAAAATTACTTATTTCTACTCTTAGGCTACTTTCTAAAATTGAAAAATCAATATATTTTTTCTATTTTTAAAAGGATAAATATAAATTATACTACACCATTTAAATATAATAATAATTTTAAAAAAATACCATCTATACCTATTGGCACAATTATTAACAACTTTGTTAATCTAAATATGGATACAATTTTAAAAAAATAATGTTTTGATATTAAAAAACTAAAAATAGACACAATACAAAAATTGAAGTTTACGAGGTAAATATAAATTAAACCAAAATAGTAAATAAGAAAAAAAAAACATAATCTTATCTAACTATATGAATGAGGATCTATCTCTTTCATCTTAAATTTATATTTTTAATGTGAGAACTTTATATTACTCTCTCCTGAACTTCTGCCCAGTGCCCACAATGATTCATTACTATCTATGCAAACATAATGCAAAATTCATTTGAACCGGACAATTATTATTGGTTGTCATTTTTTTAAAGAATACAACAATAATCTTTTTGTGTATTTTCTTAAATTATTTACTCATTAATTTATCTTTTGTATATTATGTAATAAGGAAAAATGAACCAAAATTAAAGAATTGAAATTCGAGAAATAAATTGAATATTATGTACTACCATGAAATCATTTAAAAAATGTGGGATAAAGAAATACATGACCAAGAAAAATAAAATAAAAACAACAGCAATAAAAAAATCATATTAAGACAAATAAGAAAACTAATACTAAAATATAAATCAAACGTGAAAACAACATTAACTAAATATTAAATCAAACTTGAAAATACCATTAACTAAATATTAAAACATAAAGGTATGATGAACATATAACTTAAAAGTAATCTAAAAAAAAATAAAAATTGAAGATATTACGAATACATAATTTTGTTACTCTATCTCTTAATCAATTAAATATGTTCCTCGATTCTCAAATATTATTTTGACATGATTCAGTTTTCACTCATGATAAGAAAAATCTTCATTAATATTTTGGAAATGAGTTTTAGGTCATAGAAGAAAAAGACATAATCTTCCATTTTATAGATTATTTGTTATGACACCTATACATGGATAGATGCAATATCTTCGTCAAACAGTTACTTTTCATGGGATTAACTTCTCTCAACACATATTTTCACTCGAACAGTTACAACTCTTTTGGATTAAACTCCTTATTTCATCGAATGGTCACAACTTTTTTGAATTTGTTATGTCAGACACTTTAACTCGAAGAGTCCTGTCTCTCGTAGAAATTTGAAGGAAAAAATATGTATGTATTTAAAAGTTGGAGGCAAAATAGGGAGCTAAAGATTCTCAACCATAGCACATTTAGACATAATATAGATATAGATTTTATATTAGTGATGATGGTTTGAATAAAATTTATTATTGTTAATATTATTTACTATGTAATAAAATGAATTAAAATTTTACTATTATTTTAATTAGAAAATATTAGCACACTTATCTAAGTTACATTAAAACAGAGATTCAAACTTACAGTCTTTTAATCGGACATAAATGCTTTAATTCGTTTTTCTTTATAAAAAAAAATATTTTAATTGGAGAATTATATCATTTATGCAGAAATTTATAATAAATAACATCAAAACAGAGTAAAGATTGCCGTGCAGTTACCAAAAGTGTCCATTCCAATTTTCACCCTTAACAAAAAAAAAAAAGAAAAAAGGTTCATTCCAGCTTTGAACAGAAACAGAATTCCTCTCCAAGCTTCCATCTCTGTTTGTCTCTGCCTTTGCGTCTATGGAGGTTGATGCCATTCCCAACGGCTCCGCGACTGAAACCGCCATGGCAAATGTCGCCGCCGCAGCAATTACCCCTCCGCCCTCGAAGTTCAGCGGATTGGCGGAGTCTCTAAAGCTGGAACATCAGTTTATTAGGGTTCCCTTTGAGCACTACAAGAAGACGATTCGAGCTAATCATCGAGTCGTAGAGAAGGAGGTCTCCGCGGTGATATCGAGCGTCACTGATGCCGCTGACCGCGATGCTATGTCGAGGGAAGAGGCCGTACACCACTTCAATTCGCTCGTATCCAGATTGCAAGGGTTGAAGAGAAAGGTCGGTAGTTCTAGGGTTTCCTTTTCGCGAACATTCTTGAATTGTTCTTTCTAAAATGCCAAGTAACGAGGAAGAGCTTCTTTGTAAGGGCGTGTTTTTCTGTCTTACTCGTAAATAAAAGAACGACTTTTCTGTACACATGATTTCGTTTGTTGCTTCTTTGGAGACCAGATTTTCTTGATGTCAGTGAATCTTGATGAAGTCTAGAATTCGACTTGGATTATACTGGTAGCTTGTGAGAACTGTGTTGTAACTGGCCTACTTGGTGAATTTGAATAGAGAATGCTCGCTTTGTTAATATGGATTTGCCTTTCATTATAGAAAAAAGACTTCAACTTTCTGTTATCTTTCGTTTCTTTTTGTTGTTAAGTTGGAAGAAGGCAGTCGCACCGAGCAGATGCAAGCACAGAAGTGTCGCGCTAGACTAGGCCATTTAGAATCGGCCGATGCTGATAATTTGACCGAATGGAACAGCACACGCTTGAAAAGGATCCTTGTGGACTATATGTTGCGGATGTCATATTTCGACACTGCAATGAAGTTATCAGAAAGCGCCAACATTCAGGTTGTTACACTTGCTCTAATTTGATTTTTGAACTGATGAGAAATCTGGGATCTCGTTGTCCGTAAACATTTTGAGTCACCAAAGAATTATTGCCTGGAAATCATTTCTATAATGATTTGACAAGGATATTCTTATGTTTGAAAGAGTTCCTCTATTATAATATCTGGATCATAAACATTTGAGGTCAGCGTTTCTTTAGTTTGGCAGATAGATTTTTCTGTTCGTAGTTGCCGACTGATCACCTTCTCGATTCCTTTAAGTGGTAGTGATTAGTATATACACATGTTTTTTTGGTCGTGGAGAAAGGGGGTAAAGATCTTTATTTTCTTAACCAAAAATGTGTCTCCATGAAGGAAAAAAAAAATATTTACAACTTTATGGAGGATAGTTCATACTTCTAAGCTGCAGTTAAGTGGAAATGGAACGAAACCCAATTTACTCATGATCGATGCATATTATGCAGATGTATAATAGTTGTATCAACTAATAAAACATATCCTCTAACATCATATGACTCTTATGCAATGACTATGCATGAAATATCTGTTGAGGAAATTGAAACGCAGTTGAATGTTAGCACCTTACTGTTTATTTAAAAAATAAATAAAAATTTTTTTTCTAGCATTCTTTATGCATTATGCAATATAGAATCTGCTTTTGACTAGTTAGTCATAAATCTCAGGATCTTGTCGACATTGATGTCTTTCAAGAAGCCAAAAGGGTTATTGATGCCCTTCAGAACAAGGAGATAGCACCTGCACTTTCCTGGTGTGCTGATAACAAGTCGAGGTTGAAGAAGTCCAAGGTATATGTGGTGGTTCTCAAGAGTCTTTCATTTAAATAACTAATTCATCCCAATGTATATCAGCAACGAATGATGCAATTTAGTTATTTGCGTTGTAATTTATCTGTCTTGTTACCTAATTTGCATTGTAATTTATCTGTCTTGTTACCTATATAGGCTTCTCGTTTTACATGTTTCTTGCAACTGCATACCATTTCAGAAGTTTTTTAATGCTGGAAGTATAACAGTGTATGGTTTCTCTAGTGGGTTTGTGACTCTCCTAGACCTAATTGAATGCAATTCCTTTTGAACTAACTTAGGTCGTGTATATTGTTGCTTCTGAAATTTGGTAACTTTTCTAAGTTTACAGAATCAATATGAATGATGGATCGAGAATTTAATTCTGGAGGAGTATCCAATAATTGTAAAATATTAACTTTGGTTCAACATGCTCAGGTCAAATTTTTTGAAGCCTTGAGTTATTATTTATCCGTTTCTATTGTTAAAAAAAGTTTATTGTTTATATAAATTTAATTTGAAGTAGACATGCTTTTAATTGATCACTCAAGCATGGGAGATTGTTCAAGATTTGTTGATATTTTTTGCACATTGGGTAACTTGGTTGTTACCAATGGACCAAAGTCTGGTTCTTCAATTCATAGTCATCTATGGACATAAATCATGAATTTAAAATCTACAATATAAGAAACGGATAAATATATTAATCAAGAGAATCATGTAAAAAAAAAAAGGGGAATGTGATATCCCCACAAAGCCAAAGGGTTATAATGAGGCTTTCCAATTGGCAAGAATGTGCAAAAGATCATAGTTACAGAACTCCTTAGATAGAAGACACCAGGAAGAAGAATGAGTTCTTATGATATCCGAAAGGATATCTGTTCTAGCTTCAAGCCCTTAAAAAATTCTCTGATTTCTTTCAAACACAAGCGCCAAAGAGTAGCAAACACTGCATTAATCCACAAAATTTTATACTGTTCTTTGAGAAAATCTACAGGGAAATAGGGAGTTGGGTTGCCTTCACTGAAAAAAGAGAATCTTTTAGATTGGGAGTGGAAAGTGATAGACTTCGTTGGATCATTGATTCCATTGGCAGCTTCTCCTCTCCTTTCTCCATTCGACTAGATCTAATAAAAGATTGAAGGTTCCTTTGGTGGACCAAATTTGTAAGTTTAAGGTTCCAAAAAAAGTTAAGTTTTTTATGTGGTCTCTTTGCTGTAGAAGCATAACACAGCTGATAAATTACATATAAAATTGGACGCTCTCCCCTTGGTTTTCAGCCTCTGTTAGCAGGCTGAGGAGTCTCTAGATTACCTTTTTCTCCAGTGTGAGTTTGCTGCAAATGGATGGCATCGGTTGTTCAAGGAGTTCAGCATCTTGGTTTGTCTTCCAAGTCAGATTGAGAACTGGGTGGTGGAATGCTTTGCTGGTTTAGTTTTAGGAACAAAGCCAAGGTTTTATGGAATTGTGCCATTTGGACTTTCTTGTTGTTTCTTTGGAAGGAGATAAACCTTAGAGTTTTTTAAGATAGTGTCAGTAGTATACGAAACTTTTTGTTTATTACCAATAGATCAAAGTCCGTCAGTTTCTTCAACATCATAGTCATCCATAGGCATCAATGATGAATTTAAATCTAGAATTGATTTTTGTAACTGTATCGATATAAAAATAGTTTATTGATGAAGTATAAACAATGAATTATAGTATAATAGTTTAATAAAGACCAATCGAACTGTTGAGTGTTCAGTTTAGGAATATGGACTAACACAAAATTTTTGTTTATTAAGAACATTGTATCTAAAGCCTCTAAGCATTAGGATGCAAAGGCGTGGCTGAACAAAGGATATTTGAGTGAAGGTAGAAGATGTCCTACCCATCTCCCAAATGTGTATGTGCGAAGGAAGCATTATTGATTTGAGAAATTTCTCATTACAATGAATTCTACTTTCCCCTTCTTGAATATCTATATATCTAATTCTAGTATTTTCTTACAATATGGGGCAATTAGTTAGTTCCATGCTTGCTGTCTTAATGCAACCATTAGGATATCATTATTATATGGTATCAGCCTTAATTATGTCATGTAACTGATAAATTTTTTGAATTATTTCCAAAAGCAATTTAGAGTTACACAAGTTCTTTCACCTTGCTTATCTTGTTGCTTTCTTTTCTTTTTCTGATGACAGAGCAAATTTGAGTTTCAACTGAGGCTTCAAGAGTTCATAGAATTGGTGCGGGCTGACAAGAATATGCAAGCTATTACCTATGCACGAAAGTACCTTGCTCCATGGGGAGCCACCCATATGAAAGAATTGCAGCGTGTCATGGCAACTTTAGCTTTCAAGAGTAGTACAGAGTGTGCTGTATACAAGGTAATTCGTGTGATTAGAACCAAAAGCTATGATTCATTTTCTCTAACTAATCAAATATAACGTTTAAATTTTATGTTAGTTTGAACTGTATAAAATTATTTTAAATAAGCACTTGCGGGGTAGCCTGGTTGGCAAGGACTTGGAATCTCTTGATCATACTGACTTGGAGGTCCCAAGTTCAAACCTTCTGATGAGCTTAATACCAAAAATTCTTGATGTCTCCCAAGTCTGGACCTTGAGGTAGGCACGGGAGCCCCTGAGTATAGGGGAGCAAAGCTTCGACTCCCAGTTTTCAAAAAAAAATAATAAAAATAAATAAATAAGCGCTTGCTGCTACTCTTACCCATGATGGCTGAATGTTTCTTCTGCAAATAGTTCTTTATTTTTGTTTTCTTCCTCTTTCACGATTTACCTACCTTCTAATTCCAATTCCCTTTTGAGATGCGACGTGGCTATGGAGTTGCAAACTTTATCTGGGAAGGGCTCGAATTATCTAAGTTGATTTGAAGCATATGGTTGATCTATTTTCTTTTTCCTTTTTTGTGCTTTTTAGGTCTTATTTGAACCAAAACAGTGGGATAATCTCGTGGACGTATTTAGACAGGAGTTCTGCAAAATATATGGCATGACACTCGAGCCATTGCTTAATATTTATCTGCAAGCTGGCTTGTCTGCTCTCAAAACTCCGTATCCCTATTTAATTATTTACTTGTCTCATAATATGTGATTCACATTCACTGCAGTTTAACTCTTTCCATCCAATTAATACACGTACAACTAAAAGAAAAACTCCCTATATTGGCAATTGCCGGGTGCTTTTAAATTCTAGAAGTGGAGGACTTCGCTCTTTTCAAAAAAGTGCTTATAGAGAGCGTTTTCAACGAAAAACATTACGTCCCATAGTCATCTTTCAATTCCCTCTGAAATGAAAAGAGAGTATTGCATCTCAGATGATCTTTCACTCAACTACTATGATACAGATAAGTTTGCCTTGACCTGCTTAGATACTGTTATGAGGATGATTGCACCAAGGAAGACCCACTGTCACAGGAAAGTTTTAGGAAGCTGGCAGTGCCATTGCCTTACTCGAAGCAGCATCACTCAAAGCTCGTGTGCTACATAACGAAAGAGCTCATGGACACTGAGAACCCACCACAAGTTCTTCCGAATGGCTACGTCTACAGCACCAAGGTTAGCATCATTTTGGTTATATATTGATCAGGTTTGTATCTTTTCTTCCTCGAAATATTTAGTTTGTGTTTGATATCGGCCTTTGTCAGGCTCTCGAAAAAATGGCCAAGGAAAACAGTGGTAAGATCACCTGTCCAAGAACAGGCTTTGCGTGCAACTATTCAGAGTTGGTTAAGGCATACATATCATAAACCTCTGCATGTGGAGTTGCGATGCATGTGAAGATGGAAATCGTATTTCCGTATCCCGACTCTTATACTTGGTTTGTTTACTGCTGAATTGGCAAAGGTGAATTTAGGGAAACCGACATGTGAATGTTTTGTTTCTGTAAAAAACAAACACTTCAATTCTTACAAAACAGATTCGGTTATATGTTGGGAGAACGATGACATGTAAATGAAAATTATACAAACTGTATTCATTCTATTGCTCTGCTCTCCTTCACCCAATTGAGGGTGGAAAATGTTGAAATCTTAAGCTACATTTGATAACCCTTTTGATTTTGAAAACTAAACTTACTAGATTTGTTTTGTAATTCACTTTTTTAAAGCATTTTTTAAAATCTAAGCCAATATTAAAAAACTATAAAAAGTAGTTTCTTTCATTGTTTTCAAACATTCCACAATTTTGAAACATCAACATTTCTTTAACTGTGATCGAAAGGTTCGAAAATTATTGATGGGTTCTTGCATCGTCGAAATTGAAACAAGTCAAAAAAAGAAAAAAACCAACGTTTAAATCTATACTTCTTTGTAAGACTCTACTTGCGATCGAAAGGTTTGAAAACAAAACACATATGGTATACTAACGGAATTTCGATTACAATTCATTCTTCGTATGAAATCTCTTCATTTAAAATTAAAAAATAAAAATCACTATATTCTCTCGCAACTTTTTAACTCAGGAAAAAGAATCCTATTTGAGGCGATATATAACATTTCTACAATATCGAAATCTTAACCCTGAACTTCTAAAAATTTTCGATAATCTTTCAAGAAATTTTCAAAATATATAATATAAAATATTCAAAATTTAATTTTAGATAAAGCACTTAATTAGATTTCTCTTGCAATTACTAGTCTTATCCTTCTTCAGCCCAAAAAACTTGCAACTTAGTCCCACGGCAACCCAATTCTAATTAGGACCTTATTCCCATGAATCACCAAATTTGTAATGAACTCTTCAAACAAAAAAAAATTTTAAAAAAATTATTATATTCTATCACAGAAAATAGAAAAAATGGACTAATAATTCAAATAGGGATAATGATATTTGAGAATGATCAGTCACAGTAATTAAAACTTAGGAAAGTATAAATTACATCAGTAAAAGAGCTTTTTTTTTCAAAGCTGCCTGTTTACAACGTGTCAGTAATCAGAGCAATCTCAGCTCGAGTTTTGGCCAACTGGATTTCCGCCACGTGTAATTGGTGCTGTAATTGAGAAATAATCCCGACACACCCGTAAACTGGGTCTTCAATTCTGCACTTTGCTTCGAAAAATAAGGTTTCTGCTGCTTCAGCCCGGAGATGCATAGGAATTTGCTATTAAATTTGTCCAAAGAGAGAGGGAGAGAGTCAATAGAGAGAAATATTACCATTTATTTTTCATTTTTTAAATTCATGCATAGATTCCTATAACTGGGACTTGTTGTCTGTATTAAGCAATACTAGGATCGTGTAGCTCACTGTGATCTACCGTGCAGCTGAACAACACTGTAATCAGCACAGTATAGCTGATTCCACAACAATAAGTGTCGTGTAGCCGAACATGATTAGCACAAGGCTCATATACAAGATAGGTGATATCACAAGGTCTCATGTCCTTGCCGCTGTGTCGTCTCCATAAGAAAATAGAGAGAATTTTACTGCACCGTTAATTTAAGCCTTGTTTGATACTTTCTTGTTTTTACCAACAAAAAAATTCTTGAAATTACATTTGAACCTGACTCGAATTTCAAAAGCAAAAATTTCGACATGTCATATGCAAAATCACTTTTGTCATTTTCATAAACCTACTTGTATTTTATTATCAACATGATTAGGTCATGTTTCAAAGTGATTTTGAAATCACTTCCATTTAAAATGGTATATCAATGATAACTAACGGACACTTTTAATTCTCTCAAGCGTAAACTTATATTCATTTCGTTTGTACAGAAAATAATATTAAATAAATCAGAGGAAAAAAAAAGGAAGAAACATGATATTAAATAAGATATACATACTTGGAGGAATCTTTGGACATTGCTGGCACCAAAGATTTTATGAACAGCGGCAAATCTTTGAGGGTTATTGGAAGGAAAGAAAGGGGAGAAAATGCAATCCGAAGGACATCTTCTTCTCTTAAACTTGCATGCTGCACACCGACCATAAATCATGCTAAAATCTACACAATATATATATATATATATATATAAGATATGGTTTTCTCTCTGAAAATAAGAGAACAAGATTTGGATGGAGATTCTCCAAATCTCTGTGAGTATATATATGTATTTATTTTAGAGTGGAAGTTTTAATTTGTAACGGCTAGTTTTTCATTTCTTCAAATCATTGGTATAATTGAATGGAAAGTTTTACATGCAAGGTAAGAAGTATTTTAGGGTTGGGATTTTGAGAGAGACAGAGAGAGACCTTATGGAGTTCTTTTTTTTAATTTCTCGAATTTATATTTGCTTTTGTACAAATGGTCAAACCCTTATTTTATTTATGTAAAGTTGTAGACCATTATTAATTTCATAGTGCCAAGAGTATAGTTCGATTGGTCAAGATATTTGTCTAAACGAGTTCGAATCTTCATCCTAAATGTTGTATTAAAAAATATATATTATTAATTTTAATAATAGGATTGTAACTTTTGAAAAAAAAAATGAAAAATGTAACAAAATCTAGAAGTTTAGGGATGAAAATGAGATTGGAACTTTTTTAATAATTATATCAAACAGCAAACAGCTTTAGATATAAAACAAAATCCAAACTAGTATACCATTATTAATTTTATAAAATTAAATATTTAGGTGAACTTAATTTTCCAATTATAAATTAAAAGATTGCATGAGAGGTATGATGTTACTTATTTTTTTTTATTTTTGAGAAAGTAAAGATTACAAATTAATTACCTTCATTTGGAACTCATTAAGAGTTTGATAATTCTACACCTTGAAACTACGGTTAATTCTTCGCCTAAGAGATTTGCCTTATGGTGAAAAATGGATTGGAAAGAAAGTCAAGCCACAGCTAGGGGTGATTTTAAGGTGGAAATTATCATACCTCCAACTATATTCTGTTCTGTAAAGAAAGAGAGTTGAAATATAAGCCCATAATGGTAATTCCAAAATTTTCTTTAGACAGGACTCACAAGTCATAATTTGATACAGAATAAAATGATAAAATCAAATTAATAAACCAGAAGAATACCTTCGAAGAGGATAAAAGACTACATGAAACGGATTATTTAATATATAATTAATCATAATTAAGCAAGATAAATAGCCAAAATACGATGCTGATAAATATTGGAGGCGGGGTTCAATCAAAATACAGTTCCATTTTATGAGTCTTTCTGAGGCACAACTCGCTTATAAAACTCCCAACACAAACGCTTATGCTTTAGCAGAATCAGAATTAAGAAACTGTCTATTATGCAGACTCGCTACCACCCCTTGGAGTACCGTTGTTATCTTCGTCGTTTATTGGGCTCCTTTCTTCTCTGGGCAACGGACTCGGGCTGCGGCTGTAGCCATTTTCCTCCCTCCGATAATTCCTGCTTCCACCATCAAAGTCCTCAGCTTCATCCATTGGACTTCTGCTCCTTCCCCTTGGACTTCTGCTTCTTCCCCTTGGACTTCTGCTCCTTCCCCTTGGACTTCTGCTTCTTCCCCTTGGACTTCTGCTCCTTCCTCTAGGACTGTCACGATTTCCAGGGGATGGGCTACGTCTAGCTTCTTCCGGACTCCTCTCATCAGGAGTGGGGCTACGCTTCATAGCTTTAGGAGGAGGTGACAAACTATGCCTCTTTGGGCTCGGCCTGCCTCTTGGGCTCCTCGATCTTTTTTCTGATCGTTCGAGACTTCTCTCTCTTTTAATCGGTGATCTCGACCGACTGTGGACACAAAACATAAAAGAAGCTCAAGAAGTTGAGAATTGAATCAACAAACTCATGAAGACCTGTAAAGCAATATTAACCGAAATGGAAGCTTTTTAAAACAATATATAAATGAAAACAGTTCATTGCAACAAACCTGTAGCTACGACCTCTGCTGTAACTACGACTTCGACTTCTACCACCACCACGGCGAGGGCTAGGAGAACGTGAGTAACTTCCACGCCTGTGTCATAGCTTATATCTTACTGATAAACCCTTTAAAAATGGAAGGCCAATAAGAAAACACAATGGAAAAGATAACATACTTCAATTTCTTTGGACTGTTCTGGCAATTCTTTTCTATGTGACCACGTTCCCCACACCGATAACACTTATTTTTCCAGTCTCCAGCTTTGCAATCCCTAGCCCAGTGGCCATCGATCCCACAATTAAAACATCGCCCAGTTCCAGGAGGGCCTCGACCAAGATATTCACGTGATCCACCAGGACCACGGGGTACCTAAATCAAGATTGAATATCTCCATCACATTCAAAGAAATGTTTACAAAACAAATAAAGATAAACTTACCTGAGCAAGGCAGTATAACTACATATAGCCTTTATAAGGAACAAATGGGACTGTAAAAATACTGTATATCCACCTGTTTCTCTTCCATTTGTCTTAATCAAAAGCTCGGTTTTTTATTAAAAAAACAAATGTGACTATAAAAATACAGAAATTGTACATGAATATGATGAAGATTGAAGGATATTCCAAAAGTATTAATAAAATGTTTCAAAAGCACAAAACAGATCAGTGCCCACCAAAAAATGAAAGAAATAGTAAACTGCTTGTAACTGTCTAAAGCAAATTATTCATTAGAGTCTAAAAGAAATAGATATGTCAAACGGAAGTTGGGAAATCATAATATATTCATGAAAGCTTTGTCAAGAAAGATCATGGTGCATACCCCTTTAGCTATTTCCACAATGATTCGACTTCCATGGACATCCCTCCCATTTAAACTATATCTTGCATCATCGGCATCTCGGGGATCACTAAACTCCTGTTATCAGATGTTTGAGCAGATAGACCAAGAAAAAAGATCACGCTTGCAAAAACTAACATGACCCATTAAGTAGAAAAATGAATGCATGGCAGATAGCATCTTTTTGTTGCAAGTACAGCCTAAAGAAAAAACATATGGAGGAGAGGGAGGGAAATACATACAACAAATGCATAGTCTCGCTTCATATCCACATCGCGTACTCTGCGCAAATGGGTTCCAGAAACAGGTAAGGCCATCATTTGATACAAGTATCAAAGGGTTGACACCTCGCCCCTCATAGATGAACTAAACACCATTCTGAGATTCTTGGCATTTCCATAAAAACAGGCAATAACATAATAGAAAGACTCGCCAAATGCACCAAGGGTACCCTCTCACCATAGACCTCCAGGTTTGGCATAAGCCAAGAAACCTTCAACAAGATCACTCAAGTTAAACCATACAGACCCATCAACAGTTACACACTTTCATGGATATATCAAAATGCACATGTACAGTCGAGCACCCAGAAAAGGGCTTGGCAAATACCTCAAGAGGCCTCAAGTGAAGTATCAGTTAATAATTAACTCTGACAAGGATGTTAGCAATAGCATACCCGGGACAACACTAGTATAAAAGGAAGCAACTAAAAAACGCGTAAAGATTTCGAATTTATTAAACTAATGTTAACGCGCAAATTCAATCACTACGGCGAGAAATTTCCTACCTTCCATAACGACTGAACAGGTCATCCAGATCACGGGACCTCGTCCGTGAAGACAGGCGCCCAACGTAGAGCCGAGTACCACCGTATCGATCGTCGTAGCGAGGCATTTTATCTACAATTGACAATCACAGTACCACCATCAGCGACGGTATTCCACAACTAATAGCTTGCGCAGGTATACAAAATATACAAACATTGAAACAGGGGAATATACATACGATTCAACTACTGAAGAAATGCTTATGCCGTAGAAGAACAAAGGAAACAGAGACCATACAGAATCTTAATTAAGCAAGAATTCAATAGAAAAAAAAATGCTTCGAAGAAGAACATACGGAGTGAAAGGATTCGAAGTGAGAAAACCTAGAAAATTCGAACGAGGAGGCGCACCTGGAAACAATGAGGATATGAAACCCTAAATTTCTCGTCTTTCGCAAAAATGATTACCGTAAGCAGCTCCGAGCAATTTTATAGTGACTTTTCCTTTTTAAATAGCGATTGGCCCAAATTTATCGAGAAGACTCAACTGGGCTCACTTATTTGAGATGAGCCTATATCGATGGGCTGGACCGGGCGAGGCCCATTTCAAATTTCGGTGGAGTTCAACATATCCTTGAGAAAATATTTATAAAAAAAAAATTATTATATATAATTCGGTTTTTTTTATCGCTAATTACTTATATATTTGGTTTGTTAGATTTATAGTTCAATTTGCTGATACTTTACAATAATTTTATAGTGACTTTATTAAATAAATCATACTAGATTATTTACTCTCAGCTATAATATGGTATCAAATTATACGTATTATATATTTATTTATATATACTAGTTAGATTCACGAACAAGACACGTGGTTTTGAATTTTTGAAACATAATATTTTTGTGGTGCTTCACCTTTCGAATGAATATATATATAAAAAAACTAAGAATTCTTTAAAAAAGAATTTGATAAAAGTAATTACTAATACATTCTCCTCCATAGAGTAACATTAGACGATATCAAAAGTCCGAATATAAACATTACTCATGATTGATAAATATGAAAAAGTAAGATGGATAGACGAGCTTTAATACGATGAGACGTGGTTTGGTTACATTGAACATTAGTCAACTATCCATTAAATCGGCACTAGGGTCAAACTTAAAACCTAGCAAGTAGGGACATAGTAATTGGGGTGGGGGTGATTGATACAGAGGAGTACACACTGTGACACATCACAAAGTATGTGTGATGCCTCAATAGGTTTGTGTCGTCATTGTATATAAACGTAAATTGTGATGCTGCATCGTTCTCGTGTACGTAACAATCTATTTTATCACTCAAAGTATTATAATATTGTCATATTAAAATTTAAATTAAATTAATCCAAATATTTTGATCGTGAAGTAATTTGATAAATATCATATAATATCAATGGTATAATTTAATTCTATATTGTGGTTATTTTCTGACAAACGCTGGTCTCCATTAGTACCATTATTTATGGTTACCGAAATACGTACTTGGTTGAGTTATTTTATAATTTTTTTCAATACTATATGACCAAAGTTTAATACAATATAACTTATTTACAATACAATTACTAACTACTTTTATTCGCATCATGTAATTGAGTTTTTTGTACCATTATAAATGTCAGATATGTATTTGGATATAATCCATATATATTTTTTTAATTTTTTATTAGACTTATTGTAAATGTTGTTATTGGTTAAATCATCGCAAGAGTTGAGCGTTCAATTTTATAGAATGTAATAGATGTATTGTCCATAAAATATACATAGAACGAATAATCTTGACTAATAATTCATTAATATAAAATTATTAATATCTTAACTATTCAAGACCACGTCCAACGTCTATAATTCGAATAAAACTCAAATTTATAGGTTGAGTTCGAATCATCCGAACTCAAAAGTAACTAAACTAAAAAAAGGGTCTATAAATTACAATTTTTTCCAATTTCGAAGGTTAGAAGTTTAAGAATTAAAACAACCAAATAAAAATACACGTAAAACACGTGGAGGTGTTACATTTGTTGTAAAAAGGAAAAAAAAAATAATAGAAAGGGAAAAATGCAATTTATTTATTATAATAATAATAATTATTAATTTTTTGAGATAGCAAAAATGCAACTTGACTAATATAATTGTTTCTTATAAGTTAAACAGTCAAAAGAAGCGTTTTGGAAAAATATGTAATAAAAACACAGAAAGGGCAAAAGAAAACCAACTAATAATAATCGTCCTCCACTTCCAAAAATTTTCCCTCGGTTTTGAACCCTTCGCAATTTCTCTTCCTTTCCGACAAAACTTTCAGTTCGAATCCGTCTCTTTTTTGTGTGCTTTGGACTGATTGCATTTGGAATTCTTCGAGATTCATGTGCTTTGTTATCGCTTTGCAATTAGAAAATAGTTAGTTTTTTTTGTGATATTTTAGTTAGTTTTTCTTTTTTCGCTCTGATCTCCTCGAAATTTTGTCGATTTCCGATCGACTGAATCCGATTCGAGAAAGTTAGTGTGTTTAGTGGTCGATTATTCGTTATTGTGACACTTCAGGATAGGTTTGGGACTTGAGGTTGGTATGATTTTTGAGAGTCCGTTAGGGTTTTGCATCTTTGTGTAAAGAGAATTGGCTAGAATAAATTAAAACCTTAATCGTTAATTACAAGCTTTTGCTGCGTTCCGGGATGCTAATTTGACGATGAATCAAGGCGGCAATACTGAAACCGTGGCTCCAGCGGAACCCAGTTCGCTCGAGGTAATATAACAATTTCATTGGTTGGAATATAGATATTATACATTGTGTGTTTTTTATATGGATTTTAGTGGCTTACTTGAAGTTATAATCGATACGTAACTTGAAACGAAATGTGTTTTGCTCATTCAGTAAGTTTGAACGGCTTTCTGTTTTGATACTTAACAGAGTCTGTTGATATGTCCATGCCAGCAATAAAAATGTATATCGTTATTTTATTTCTCTAGCTCTGTCTCGTGTTATTTATGCCTTAAGTTTAGTGCAAATTTCTTGAATGTTTGCTTTGTTTCTCGCGGAGGAATAGTTGAGATTTTTGAGATGCATTTTATGATAAGGGTGGTAAGGGTGATTGGGGGTCTTTTGTTGCTTCTTTCGTTTCTTGGTATTATTTTAGTGAAAGATTCTGGATGCACTTGCCAATCTTGATTGTAATAGTAATACACTAACCAAGTTATGTGGATTTAATTATTTTCTGGTATAATAGATGTGTACGATTAAAGAATGATGTAGGGGCCACAGGAAAATATAGTGCCCTTAGAATGATTAAGATTCTATTTTGTTGTAGTGTATAAAAAAAATTTCAATACAGCAAGTGCCGATTTTAGCATATACTTGTTGATATTATTGTTTTAGTTTAGTTTTGTTCTGCTCTTTTATTATCGTGACTTTCATTTTCGTGCCTGTATATGCTACTTTTCTCTATCTTTCTCGTTTTTTTTTTTTAATATTGTTCGGGGAGGAGATAATTTTTATCCATTGGTACCAGATTTGTTCATAAAAAAACAGTAGGATATTGATGTAGTTGGTGAAATGGTTTTTTAGTGGCCTACTTGATAGCTAGTCTTTACTCTCCAAGTCTCAAGAAGGTGGTTATTACAGAGAGTTCTTCCGAATTTTAGTCGATGGTACCTTTTTGCCTATAGAATTTATACTTATTTGTTGTTATAGATAATTCGAAAATGTATTTGTTTGTCTTCAAGTTTTATAGTTCTGCTGCTTCTATAAAAAAAAGCTTGAAGTTTTACAGTAGCTACATGTTTTTGCCCCTGTAGACCTGTTTTTAGTTGATATATATAGCTTTCTCTTTCATAGCGGTTTTATGCAGTACATTGTGCTGAACATGATAACTTTATTTTCTGGCTTCTGTACTTAGAGACATGATCTTTTTGCCACTTCGATGGTCTTTTAGATTTTCAATGAATGCAAGTTAGTGAACTTGCATGTACGATGACAATGCTGACCTAATATATTTCCATGCATGTTTTTCAGAAGCAACACATTGGTGATGGAAATCAATCAGTGACGACATTGACATATCAACCTTTGACATCTGCTCCAGAAGCCATATCATGGGCTAATCACAAGGTGGATGGTAGTTCCAATGAGAATGGGTTGCTCCCAAATTCCGCTTACCAATATAATCAACAAGTGCTCCCACCCGCAAGAAATGTGCAAGATGGTCTAAATGTGTCTTCTGTTGCTTGTAGTTCATCAAGTTTTGTGACATCAAATGCACCACAAGATTACAATGCCTATGCACCATATTCAAATTCTGCCGATCCTTATGGTTATGCAAATGCTGGTTACCAAGGTTACTATAACAACTATCAGCAGCAACCCAACCATTCTTATTCACAGCCCGTAGGAGCATATCAAAACACAGGTGCTCCTTATCAGCCCCTTTCCTCATTTCAGAATACAGGGTTTTATGCTGGGTCTACAAGTTACTCAACCACTTACTACAATCCTGGTGATTATCAGACAGCTGGAGGTTACCCAACTAGCAGCTACAGCAATCAGACTACCTCATGGAATGGTGGCAATTATGGAAATTATAATTCTAATCAATATGCTCAATATGCACCTGACTCAAGTGGAGCTTATAGTTCCAGTTCTACCAATGCAAAAGCTCTACATTATCAACAACAACAACAGCCCTACAATCAGTGGGCTGATTACTACAGTCAAACAGAAGTTAGCTGTGCCCCTGGGACTGAAAAACTGTCTGCTCCAGGCACTGCTAATGCAGCATATCCGGCTCATGGTTCAACTAGTTTATCTGCACTGAACAGTCAACCACCACCTTCATATACTCCCTCGTGGAGGCCAGATTCTGGTTCATCTGAACTGGCTTCTGCTCAGGTTTGAATTTCACTTCTACCATGTGCATGGTTGGGATTACTTCTTGTGTAAGGCCATGTGTAGCGTTTAATTCTATTTAATGTGTTTGTGGTATTTCTGATGCAAAGTTTATCTGTTATATTTTGAGTAGCTTCTATCCTGAATATATGTTTCATGCCTGCGTGGAAGCTATGATGATAGGATGGCCAAATGGGTGATTCTGTCAACTCTGGATTCTGTGTTACAGTTGAACTGTAAAAATCATGATTACCTGTATTCCTGTCTGATTCCTTTTTTTTTTCCTTATTTTTATCTCTCTTTTTAGTAGTTCGGAGCTTGATGCATGTCTTTCCTGTAGACCTTTGTATTTAACTACTGACTTTTGATGTTTTGATAAAAAGTAGGAACTGCCGTTGGCTCATCTTATTTCTATAACTGTGATGGTTTTTTTATTGTTCTATCTTTTCTGCATGCTCGAAATTCTGCTCTTTGTAGTTGTATGAATATGCATTGATGTTGATTACTTTCTCGACACATTTATTCCTTGCAGTTTGTTGCAGACAATTCTTAAACTTTGTGTTCTTTTATAATATTTGCAATGGTTATTTGGTCAGTTGAACGACTATTCTTTTGCCCTTTTTTCCAGCCTGGTGCTGTAATTAGTGGTAACCATGATGGTTACTGGAAGCATGGGGCTCCAAATTCTCAAGTGCACCTTACTAATGCTACTCAACCTCTCTTTGAAAAGCCTCTAGATTTAAAAACTTCTTATGATAGCTTTCAGGATCAACAGAAAACTGCAGGTCCCCAGGGGCCCAATTTACAATATCCAGCACATCTGGCTCCCCAGAGCTATCAATTACCCTCACAATCTGTTCCATCCTTGGAAGCTAGAAGGACCAAGCTGCAGATTCCAACAAACCCTAGGATCGCTTCCAATTTGAGCATACTAAAAACCAGTAAGGATAGCTCTACAGCTGATGCTGTGGTTCAACCTGCTTATGTCAGTGTTTCAGTGCCGAAGCTGAATGAGAAAGAATTGTCTAGTGATACTGCAGAGTCTGTCCTGAAGGTTCTTTTCTGATTTAATAATTAATAATTATTTCTGAAAATAAATGCACTATTTATATATTTATGGGTTATTGGTTTTAATAATGTACTGGTTATGCTAAAACAATTTACTGAAACTTTAACATGTTAATGCAAAGCTCAGTTCCACAAACCTTAGACTGTGTTTCCATTGGGTTAGGCGGTTGTCTTGTGAGATTAGTTGAGGAGGTGCATGCAAGTTGGCTTGGACACTCACAGATAAAAAAAAAAAGAAAAAAAACCTTTAGAGGAGTGTAAAATTGATGTTTCTTTTAAAGTAGGAGGGTGTATAATTTTTTTTTACTTGAGCCTTAGAGTTTTAGAGGAACCCTGTCATACTATTTTGACATTTATATACTTCTAAGAAGACATGGAGACTCTAGAGCAGTGCATATTTTTTTGCTTGCAGCCTGGAATGTTCCCTAAATCTTTGCGTGGTTATGTCGAGAGGGCTTTAGCACGATGTAAAGATGAGAAGCTAATGACATCTTGTCAATCAGTTCTAAAGGAGGTACGATGCTAGTGTTATCATATAAGAAGTTAAAGTTTCAAATTGAAGTTATTGCAAAAAGTTATTTTTTTTCTCTAGGAATATGCATCTTTGTGTTTCTTATATAAAAAAGGCAGTTATTGCAGAAAGCAGTATAGCTATATCAGCTTTGAAGTATTATCTCAATCTTTTGAAAGTTCCAATTTTGTCGTTGACGTGTTCATTTTTTCAATCAAATGTATATTTTCCAATTTCTTCCCAATATTTAAAAAAGCTTTATTTTATTATTTGTGCATTAATATTTTAAAAAAGTACGTCATTTTTTGGTTCCTTTTTTGGTGGTTACGTTGTAAGCTATTTATTTATTATTATTATTTTTTTTTTATGAGAAACCAAGCTTTTATAAATAGTTGTAAGCTATTTATTGTTTAGCGATGAAGTGGTTCAGGGCCTTAAATTTCAATTGATGGTTGGCACTTGGCAATTGGTAAATTCTTGGCAGATTCTTATTAAAATATATTAACTACATGGTTTACTATTTAATTTTTGGTAGAGTTCTTTTGACATCATTTGTGCATATCATCTTTGATCTTATGTGCTTGTTAAGATTATTAATTTTGATTCTTAGTTTTCATTTGGTTGATTAGTCCTTTTCTTTCCATTTCAGATGATTACGAAGGCAACAGCTGATGGCACGCTTTATACAAAAGACTGGGATATTGAGCCTCTGTTTCCATTGCCAAGTGCAGATGCAGTTTACATAGAGTACTCTCTCTCTCTCTCTCAGCTTAAGTTGGTGCCTATTGGAATTGATATATGGCAGTCTTACCCGATGTTTTTGTCTAACAAATTCTTGGCTCTCCTCTTTTACCCTGCCTATAGAACATGTGTTATATGAACATTTTAAACCATTTTAATTTTTATATATGATATTCATATCATAGAATAATGATATTGATTCCACTTGAAATTTCAATGTGGAAATTAGGAACAAATTTTCTCTTTGGTACGATGATGGAAAATATTTGAGTTTCTATCCATCCATTATTTTGCAATATGTAAACAGGATCTGAAGTTTATATATTTTGCATTATTTTGCAGCAAGTTACAGGGTCCAAATTCCCTTTCTTCATTGCCAAAGTACAAAAGAAGCCCGAGTAGAAGATCCAAAAGTAGATGGGAGCCTTTACCGGAGGAAAAACCAGCTGAAGCACCTGCCCCTTATAGTAATGGTTCTGCTAAATATGGTGGCTGGGCCAATGTTAGTGAAAGAGACAAAAAGGTAGCCTTTGTTTATTCCTTACTTCACTATTACCCTACGCTTTCCTGGACAGTCTCTCTTTCATTTGTATGACGTGGTAATATTCAATCTCGATTGGTGTCATTCTTGTTACCTTAAATACCTACAGGATAAGATGTGTGTGTGCGCGCGCGCGTGTGTGTTTTTTTTTCCTTTCTGGCGTTGCCCCATTTCTAGAATTACAGTAAACAGTCTTATAATTTATAAATGTTCAGTTGATTATCATATATCCCATCTTAAATAGTTTTTCAATCGTTTGATTTGAGAAATTGCATGCAGACTTTATCTGGGAGCTCTGAGACTAAGGATTTGAGCAATTCAAGATTTCCTCTGTGGGATCAGAGATCTGTGAGCAAGATTTCCCAAGGACCACCAAAGAAGCAGCGAGTTGCTGATGGGAGCACACCTGATAATGATGGGGCATCTAGTGATAGTGACAAGGAGCAAAGTTTGACAGCATACTACTCTGGAGCCATGGCCCTTGCAAATTCGCCTGAAGAGAAAAAGAAACGGGAAAACCGATCCAAGCGTTTCGAAAAAGGGCATGGCCATCGGGCAGAAAATAATCACTTCAAACCTAAAAGATCTGGAATTGGAGACTTGTATACTCGAAAGGCTAATGCCTTGGTTCTTGGAAGAAATTTAGAAAATGGTGGCTGCAGAGCTGTTGAAGACATTGACTGGGATGCTCTTACCATTAAAGGGACCTGCCAGGAAATTGAGAAGCGTTATCTACGTCTTACTTCTGCTCCTGACCCTAGCAGTGTAATTATCAATATCTAGTTATTTGTTCTTTTCAGGACGTTCATAATTGAAATTGAATAAAATTAGTAGGTAGTAATTTTTTCTTTGAACTTTATTATGTTCATTTTTATTTTACATCACAGGTAAGACCAGAGGAAGTTCTGGAGAAAGCTCTCAATATGGTTCAAATGTCTCAAAAGAATTATCTATATAAATGTGATCAATTGAAATCCATTCGTCAGGATCTAACTGTACAGAGAATTCGCAATCAACTAACTGTTAAGGTATATTTGTATCTGGTTATGAAGGATACTATTTTTCATCATTATATGGTCGTGTACAATTTCATCATGTTTATTTCCATTCCCTTCTGTGTGGAACCATGTTAATGATTGGTGAAACCTCTCAGGTATACGAGACTCATGCTCGACTAGCCTTAGAAGTTGGAGACCTACCCGAGTATAATCAGGTTTGTGTGGAAATATTCTTAACTGCTGGCATAGGAGTTTCGATCTGAATACACAGACACCATATTCTGGACCTTTCATCCTTAAATAACACATAAGATCAATTCAGTCCACTGTTTAATATCTAAGTCTAGTATCTTAACTTTGTTACTTTGGGAATCATTCACAAGCTTATGCACCCAAAAATGAATTATCTTAAGAAGTTTCAAATCTGTGTTTTCTGTGATTTCAGTGCCAATCACAGCTGACGACTCTGTATGCTGAGGGGATTGAGGGATGCCTTATGGAATTTGCTGCTTATAACTTACTCTGTGCGATCTTGCACTCTAACAACAAAAGAGATCTTTTATCATTGATGTCAAGGTCAGTAGAGAATCATTTCCTGTTTTTTTACATTCTTGATTTTGTTATTTTTCCAGTGGAATTGATTGTTGCCTTGGTACACGCTTAACATTCTGAAGGCTAGTAGCTTACTGATAAAGTCATATTGAATCTTAAAAACTATGTTGATTTGTATGCATAACACGATGAAAGATTAGTCTTTGTCTTGAATGATTTTGCTGTTGAATATCTTTCTCTTTGTCCCGAAAAGGTTGTCATGCGAAGCGAAAAAAGATGTAGCTGTGAATCATGCTCTTGCAGTTAGTTCTGCTGTCACCTCTGGGAACTATGTCAAGTTCTTCAGATTATACAAAGCAGCTCCCAACTTAAATACGTGCCTGATGGGTGGGTCCCCTGTACTGAAAGCTAATTCATTGAGGAATACCATGTTGTTAAGTACCAATTGGACTGGCTGATAATTTTTCTTTTGCATCCCTGCAGATCTCTATGCTGAAAAGATGCGTTACAAAGCTGTAAATTGCATGTCTCGGTCGTATCGCCCATCTATACCTGTTCCGTACGTTGCTCAGGTCTTAGGATTTTCTACTTCATCTGGAGAAGAAGTTCAGGAAAAGGACGTAGATGGATTGGAAGAGTGCACAGAATGGTTGAAGGGGCATGGAGCTTGCCTCATAACAGATAATAATGGAGAGATGCAGCTTGATACAAAAGTAAGTTCAATCTCACCTTTATGGTTGATCCTGGAGTAGGATTTAGGGGGCGAAAAAAACTAAACGAGAAAAATGTGAACAAAAAACGAAGTGCAAACAGAAGTCTAGAAGAAGCCATATAAAAACCTTTACCACAAATAAAACATCAATCCTCGAGGATAATTACACAAATCTTTAGTAATTGACCACTCGCCCAAGAGTGTCGAACTTAGCTAAAGCCCAACAAAACTTTCCCGAAGGATAATTACTGAAATTCTCAGCTATAGACCTCCAAGACTAGACCTTTCTAAAAATTCTAGAACTCTCTTATTTCTAACAAGGTAAATACTAAAAACCTTAAAACCTGGAAAAAAGAAAAAAACCGTACATGCTAGAGAGTATTTATTTGTCTTGTCTTGAAATGATTCACTTTTGAGTAGATAATATCATATAGATTCATTGGCACTAAATTGGTGTTTTGTCGGCTGGTGGGGACGCGTTACTATTGCATTCTCGTCTTGGAGGGCTGCAAGGTTTCCATTTTATAACTAAGTTTGGAGTTCATAATTTATGTTTCTATCCAGAAAAGCCGTTGGATTCATAATTCAGTAACCTCTTTGGTGGTTGGAGAAATGAATCCATTTCCCTATGCTCTCAATCACTTGATGAAGGTTCATAGAAACCGTAAATAGTGATTCTTATTTTTATGACTATGTGCAAGTATTGTACATATACATAATGTTCAATACGTTAGAATTTTGTGCTCAAGGTACCTTGGAGCGTTTACTCGAGAGTCGAGACACTACCATTTTCTGGGTAAAATGTGTTTCATTGATGTGATAGGACTCCAAGTTTGCGAAATAAATCATTGTGCATATCATTTATTTATGTTACGCCATTTAGCAATCCATAACCTGTTGAATGTGAATTCCAACATAAACCTGAAAATGATAGTTTTGAATGTGATTGATCCGATTTCCATTTTGCAGGCTTCATCTACAACTCTCTATATGCCAGAGCCCGAAGATGCGGTGGCCCATGGAGATGCGAATCTTGCTGTGAACGACTTCTTTACACGAACATCCTCGTAGTGGAAAAGAAAGTAGTTGCATCCAACTGTTCCAGAGCTTGTAAGAGAATTTGGGCACTTTTACTGGCCTCGACAAGCTGATGTACAATATGAAGGATGCTTCATACGGCCTGAACTTTCGGAAGAAGATTACGTCAATCCCATCTCCGGTCTGTAACAATGTAGATGGACAGGTACAATGTTAAGATTTGAATGAGATTATCAAATATATGGCTTAAAATGGGAGAGGATCTAAAAAACACATTGTTGTAGGAGGAATAGCATTCAGCATTCTATTCAGGAATCATAACTGTTCATTATTTATTGGTATTACTAGGAAATATGGATAGAAATAAAAGTGATTGTATTTTTAATATATGTATTATGGGAACTGACTGACAATCCCTTTGATTTTATTTTGAAATTAACGAAGTAGTTTTCGATTTTTTTTTAATGTTATATAGGTATTATTAATCTTATAATAATAATAATAAATTTTATTTTGAAAAGTGATCTGTTTTGAATGTAATTTGCTGTTGGTGAGGGACACGTGGATAAGTAATAAGACTACACGTCTGCAATTGTCATTAGCCCATTCATTAAATTAAAATAAGGTTAAATTACAATTTATGTTCAATTAACTTATTAAGTTTTTAGAGACTATTTGGTATAAATTTAAAAGTTTAGAGGCTTGTTATATACCTTTTAAAATTTAGAAACATTTCAAAGTTCAATTACTAAACTTGAAATTTAGCCTTCAAATAATAAATAAATAAACCAAAATAGTAATAACAATAATAATTCTATTTTTAATAGTAAAACTATGGATATTATCTATACGGTAAACTATTTCTGAAAATAAATTAAGATAAATGATATGGAAAAATATTGCCTGGAAAAAAAGCACGCCAGGGTTTCTAACAAGGGCCCATCTTCTTTTCCTATTGAGTTACTGTTCGAAAACACAATTTTGCTGCAAAACTTTTGCATACCCATCTCAACACATTAAATAAATTATGTATCATAAAAAATTAGACATGAATTTTATTGGTAGGAAAGAAAATAATTCCTGTTATCAGAAACCCCTAGTGTACTTTTTGAGAAAATTTTTCGATGATAATATAATATTTTAATAAATAAGATTTTTACACTACCATAGTACCAAAATTTTTCCAGCCTGGAAGAGTTTAAATTACAATAGAAGTATTGGTTAGCGTTCACCATATATATGCATATTTTTTGAGAAATATTGTATGCCATAATATTAGTTACAAAAATAACAGTTTAGTTAGAATTTAAAATACTGCCGTTATCCAATAAACCAGAGTAATGTCTATGACTTAAATTGAGTTTCTGAACAGTACTTTTAAAAATATGACCCAAAGTGTTCGAGTGTTTTTTGATAGAATAAAAAGGTTTTTTTCGATGCCCAAAGACAATTCTCTCTCTTGATTATTTGGAAGGGCTAAATATTCGCTTTGGTTCATAATGTGTAAGAGTTTTCTCAATTTAATCTCTATGGTTAAAAATGTTCAATTTAATCATTTGTATTTTAACAAGTTTCAGTTTAGATCCTCACTGTTATTGAATGTTATAATTGACAGAAGATAAATTTACATGACATATTGGGTAGATTGGTAAAAGATTAGAGAGAAAAAAAAACTTGAGATTTCAACCAATTTCTTCGAAATTAATGCAAGTAATTATAAAATTTCAACTCTAAAACTATTACCAATTCACTAAGTATTATCCCATATAAATTTACTTTCAGCAAAATTTAACATTTACCAACCGCGAGAGACTAAATTAAAAATGGTTAAAATATTAAGAACTAAATTGAAACTTTTTAAACAGGGACTAAATCAAAAAACAATGAAACCTTAGGAACTAAAACCTATACTTAGTGAGTATCCAGAAGTAACATAGAATCATATTTGAAAAAAATTAAAAACACCTAAAAAGTGCTTTGTAAGATAACATTTTTATAGAATTTTTTGGACCAAGAACTTCAAACTGATAAGTGCCTACAATCAAAATCTAAAAGCAATCCAAAATACACCCAACCTTGATTGTTGTGAAAATTTCCAAAATTGATTTTGAATATATAACTGAGCACTACAAAAGTTTTGAAAATACTACCTCAATCGATGAAATTCAAAATGATTTGAGCTTCGAGGCTTGGATTCAAATCTTCAACCATCACCTACAATTAAATATAAACAAGGAGATAGAACAACCAGTGACAGTTTACAATAACTGCAGGGCATAGTAGTAATTAAAGACTAAAAAAAGTACCTTTTCGTTTGAGTAGAAAATTATTCAAGGCCACCTTCCTTCATCTAACTACCAAATGGAATGGATTGATTGTCAAACATTGCTAAGTTATGAAGGGTGGCAGAAAGAGTCGCAACATCTATAAAAGTACACTAAATGAAGACTATAGCCGAATTCGACACGATACCCTATGTCTGGAGATGATCCTGGCGTCATAAGATTTCAAAGTTCTGCTCGCTAAGAACAACGGATCACCAGTTATAACATTTTTGCATACAGAATTCAGTTCTGATACGTGAAATCTGCAAATTCTCTTAAACTTGGATAAGCGAGTCAGAGCGTAATAGAAACAGGGAAGACTAGCAAACCCGTACTGTTGTCTTCGCTTTGGACAATTCGGCGTTGCCTAAACTTCAACCATGCAAGACAGGAGACACTGAAGCAAATCATCAGCAGAATCATGTCAAACTGAGAAGTTTGATTATATTTGATCGTCGGAAAAGTTCACAGCGAGATCCCAATAATGACCGACACCAGCATCGGCAAAAATCTTCCTAGCAGCTGCCTCTGTCATGCACTCCTGGATAAAAAATTTATTGAAACTAGATTTGGCAACACTTCCTTGCCATACCAGTGAACATTTGTTAACGGGCTTATCGTCACTTTCATCCGCCTCTTCCTCCTCTTTCACAGAAGCAGCCCAATTTATACGCCTAAGCATAAGCTTTCCATACCTCTTGATGGACTTGCTTCCCCCTTCAACTACCAGAACACTGATGCCATCACATATCACAGCACATCCAGTCAACCGGTTCTCTCTAGCATTAACATCGACTTTAAACCGGGCCTGTGGGTGCGATAAGTCGTAGATCTTATAAACAGACACAAAGTTCTCCAGTGAATTTGCATCGTCAAAAAGCTTTCGTTCTTTCTTCTCACGGCGCTCTGCAGGAGTAAGTTTACGTGCAATGTTTCTATCTATGTGAGCCTGTTCCCTCTCGGCAGCTGCAGCACGAATCTCTTTCTCTAGTTTAGTAGGATCTTGTGTTGCTTCCGAGCCAAGAACTTTCATTAAATTGCTCATTTTAACTTTTGGTTTGGGTGGTTCTATCAGGCCTTGTCTAATCATCTCCTGCCTATCTTTCTCCTTTGCTAGACGGCGCTGCGTCCGGAGTTTCTTCTGCTCCTTCTTTGTTAGCTTTAGGGGCTGAGGAGGTGGAGGAGCTGGCTCAACAGGAGGTTCAATAGGACGAGGATGCTCCACATATATAGTAATCTTATCCTTCCTTATTTTATCATTGGCCACAAAACCATCTCCCACATCATCGTACGTGCCAGAATGCAAAAGAGAGACATCCCTAAATAGTTAAAAAGAAAATAATAGAATATTAGCATTGAACTCAGACGAGATCCCAGTCAGATCCAACACTTCATTACGTCATAATACCAAAGCACAGAAATACTTTGTTCCCAAACATCTTAATTTCAGGCATTCTACCCCAGACATGCCACTACTATGCAAACCTAGTACCAAACGGGCACATAAATGATAAAAGAAAAAGACATTCGAACTTCGTACTTGAAAACAAATTTCCACACACACACAAACCACTCCAATTAAAAAAAGATCAACGACAAAGTGCTAAAATATTATGGAACATGGGGTCAAAGCAACTTTATAGGATTTTTTTTTTTACTAAGAAAAACTTTATAGGATTTAACTTAAGAAGTCTCAGGATTATTAAGAATAAACATCTAAGTTGGAGGAAAGAGCAGAGATCATCAAATATTCTGCGGCCTCTTGGTGTACTAAAAAGAATTTAGGTTGTCGTCGGTAAATGTTATCAAATGTAGTTGCTATTCGGGCTTTTGATGATGGGGTAAGATATTGTATTCCTCCTAACGAGAAGATGTAAATTTAATTGAGTTCCTAAAGTTTCTAAGATAAAAATCTAATATAAGTTTTGCATTCACCAAGTCAATATGTTCAAATCGTTCAATCATACCATTGCTTTCACGATCCAAAAGTGGCAAACTAAACAAGTACTCAGAAGTATAAGAATAGAAAAGATATAAAACCTACCACCACTCAATTTCAGGAATTGGTTCTTTCGTTTTTTCTTTCACAATAACTCTCTCTGATACCTCGATCAAATTCGGGTTTATATCAGGTGCTGCCTTTGCCTTGGCCAATTGTGCCTGCTTCTCCCTTCGCTCTTTGGCTTGTGCCTCTCCGAACTTACTCTGTAATGAGAAAATTAAAATAAATTAGACAGCCCTTCTTTTACAAAAAGAAAGTTTGATTGAAACTATAAGTACCCTTAATTTTATGGTTTCAGCCTCCTTAGACCATTTCCCTTCCTCAACAAATTGGAAATTCATCCTCTTCGGCCTCAAGAGTTTAGTTTTATTTATACCCATCCTCTCATCAAAATGAGGGTTTGATTCTGGATCCACCTCAAGTTCAGGTTTAAGAATCTGAAATGCATCCTTTTTCTGTTTGTTAATGTTAACCTGCAAAGTTAAAAATACATACACGGTTAATCCATTAAAATTTAATAAAATAAAATAAAAATTTAAAGGAGTATAAGTTCATTTCAAACCTTTAGAGTGCTAAGGTTGCTTGGTTTGGTTATATTGACCACATTTCCTTGTTCATCTATTTCCCTGCCAAGTGCATCAAGACGAAGGACAGGGGCCTTGACTGGCTTCTGCGGAACAGCAACATCAGTTGCTATATTCCCTGGAAACAAATTTATGAGAGGAGCAAACTCTGGATCCTGCCGAAATCCCATCCTAGCAGCAAGCTCCTGTGCACGTTTGACAGCTTCAAAATGGGGTATAGAGGTAAGGCCTGCTGGAACATTAATACCACCGCCATGTGTATTAGTAGCAGCAGGTAAGGTCGATGAACTTGATGCTACCCCAGCAGAAATAGTTGTGCCAATATTTGTAGTTGGCGATGGCCCCAACACACCACCTGCTGGTTTAGATTTGTCCTCCAACTTTACAACTGAGCTGCTTGCAGAACTTGAACCCCCATCTTTCTTCATCTATAAGATCAAATACACACTTGATACACAGAGAAATACCCAATACACACTCACAAACATATGTGAATACATATATATGTAAAACAAACATCAGAGGGTGGTGAAAATAGCTAAAATGGGTCAAAGGAACGTTGCTTTCAAACATACCAGGGGAATTTTCTTCAACTTCTCGGCCAATTCTTTCTGCATCTGTAAAGCTTTCTTAGCTTTTGCTAGAGCATCAAGAGAGAGATTTCCACTTTTCCCAGCAGTTGATGATGGCCCATCTGTACTAGATTTTCCATGAACCTCATGAGATCTGGTAATACTAACTCCCTTATTTTCATTTGTGGTAGAAATTGAAGATACCTTGATAGGAATGGAATGACTAGGGTGTACCAAACTCTGGGGCACACTTGCTGATGACATATCAATAGGTTCCACCGTGGATCCCTGCAATATAATGATGTCAGTTCCTTAAGTCCACTACTAGCCACGGCCAGGAGGCATGACAATCATGGAAGAAAAATCAATAATGTATAATTAATAAATCTAGACATAATACCAATATAAATCTGAACAAGGTAACAACAAATGTCGCAGAATTACAATACGGAATCTGTAGTGTTACAAACCAGACAATTAATTTTAAAAATGTGTCCCCTATTACATCCAATAAGCATCAAATAACACGGAGCCTCACTAGTCACTCACACTTCAAAATTAAAAGGCTAGAACATTTTAAAAATTCATAATATACCAAAAACCTAATAAAAAACCTTGCTTCAATATTAATTTTTCTTGTTTTCAATAAAATATAATCACTGAACCTTGGAAAATCTGTTCTGGTGTAGCTTTAATTTGCATAACTTATCAAATAAAATTCTTGAGCCCACACTCATCTAACCAGCACATTGCATTACAATAATACTATAGTAAGCCTAGTTTACCCAAAACTAAACGCTTAAAATAAACATGCTGCCGATGACAATTCTAAGGCTTCAATTGTTCACAGAGATATGAGTTTTTGTGAACAGAAAAAAGCCCCCACCCAGAAAGGAAATGTCAACCCAAGAGATCACACAATCACATTAAAAATATATATATAAGTTTACTGTAAGTCCTACAAGATAAGGACTCAATTACTCTTATGATCTGATGGGTCTCCCTATAGATACATTTACACGAGAAGATCAAATAAAGAGGATAGAGAGGGAATTTATACGTGTTCAGAGGGGGAAATTAGTAAGAAGAAATATAAGCATGGACACACGCCCATGTAGTTACCTAAGCCTAAGGGAAGAAACAACTGTAGACAGCAGAAGTGAGTCACTTAAAACATAACATTGATATGTTTAATAAAGATAGAGGAACTCTCGAACCCTCCTCAAATGTACTTCGTTTTGTTGCTTAATTTAATTTTCTTTTAGAAACAAGAGACACTTTCACCATTGACGATTTGAAGACAAAATGGAACTTTATTAAATAGCCAACTGAAACATAAAGTATAGCACAGTGCAAAGCATATATGAGAGAGAACCCGATTTCTTAGTAAATGATGATGATAAACAATTAAATGGTTTTACAAACAAATTCCAATATTGTAGGAAGAAATCATTACAATAAAATGCAGCATATGCAAAATAGAACTTACATTCCCCAGTGAACTTACATCGGTGGTGCCTCCAATCTGAATTTTCCCATCCCCCACGTTTCCCTTAGACTTGTGTTTATTCACATTGGCATGCTTCTCATCAACATTTCCACCATTATCCTCTTCGTTTACCCAATCCTCAAACCGCTTCCTCTCCCTCCTTCCCCTACCACTCAAGTTTGCTTCATCATCTTTCTCACCGTCAGCAAATCTCCTCCGCTCCTTTTTCTCATCCATCTCAGCTCCGTTCACTTCCTTCCCGTCCTCAATCCGCCTTAGATCCTTCCCATCTTCCGAGGCCCTAGCCCTCTTCTCACCACCATCAAACCTATCCTCACTCCCCCCTCTATCCTTCCTCTTGTTCGAACGCACAGTATTCTGAATTGGCTCAAACGATCCTTCCCGTTCACACTCATCATCTGATTGCTCGCGCCTCGCCTCGCGCAGCTTGCCCCGCTCTTTGCTGCCCTCTCTCTCCACTCTCGGCTCATTCGACCGCTCTCGCTTAGACGAATCCCTATCCCTACTCCTTTCTCTCTCATCCCTAAGATCATAAGACCTTTCCCGCTTAAAATCGTGGTCCTGCGAGCTCTCGTGCTCGTCAGGAGACCTATCACGCCTATGTTTGTGGTCTAGCGGCTCATGCGAACGCTCGCGCTTGGAATCGCGGTCCGATCGGTGGTGACGCCGGCGATGGTGGTGATCGGATTCACGGTGCTTCTCATCCTTGGAGGAATGCTTTTCGTCGGCGTCTCGACTGCGATGCTTCTGGTCTCGATCGCGTTCATCTCGAGAACGCTTGCTGGATTTCTCCTTCTCGGAAACCCTATCCATTTCCAAGGGTTCCACAGGCTCTGAACCGAATGTTTTCCCGCCTTCGTCCTCTCTCTCTCTCTCTCTCTCTCTAGGGTTTCGCTCTCTATCTACTCCAGAGAGTAAGAGAGTTCATCCGGGCAGGAAGGGCAGCGCGATTGTGGCTCGTGTTTATGATGGGGGGTTTAACGGTTCTTGTGAACCGGTCTAATTGTTTATTTATGCATTCTGAACCGTGACGTTTATATTATTTGTCCACCGTCACTCACTCGAGTAAAATTACGTTTTTTTTAACCAAGGTTTTCGGTATCGTTCGCGCGAAAATGTTAATGTTTTAATTTTACAAAAATATGGATATTTCACCTTTATACAAAAAGTTGATATTAATGAATATTACCGAAAACAAATACAAAAATACAGTATTTTTTAACAATCTTTAAATTAATAAATATACGATTAGTTATTTTTTAATAGGATAAGTATTCTTATCATTAATATTAGTGATATTTTATAGTTATTTTTTTAATGATGTTGTGAAAATGTCGGAGTCGCCTTTTACATCACGATCATAGAACGGAGATTTTTGTTTACATGTACCTAACCATGTGAACAAGTAGTATAAAAAAAATCATACTATTTTTTTTTTATATAATTCAATGATCAATGTATGACATAAAATACTTGATCAAAGTTCAATATCACCATTTAGATAACATACACTACATTTTAGATAAACATGAATTTGTTTAGCAATTGGATAAGAAAATAAAGTGGATAATTTTACCAAACAAGATGTCTGTTATATTATTTACAGAAATCATGTTTTAATTTAGTCAAAAGTCATGCTATCTTTTTTGCCAAACACATTACCAATCAATTAAAGTGTTCGATGGACATACTTGCCATTTAGCTAAGATTTCAAATAATATTTAATGAAAACAAAAAGGATAATGTAAGTGATTAAACTTTTTTGTTTAGCAGGCATGGCTTTCTTTTCATTGTTTTGTTCTTCAAAAGAATAGTATAACATAGGAAATCTGCACAAATTCAATATTTTCACTGTTTTTACGAAGTATGTATAAAATTAAATCCAGAGGCACACCTAAAACAATATGAGATGCACCATAATACAATACATATAATATCACAGGGTTGAACTTCATCACTTTTATACAAAATCTACTGATTTGTGTGCCTTCTTCTAAAGCAAACATACAAAAAGAAGAGTGCTTTTCTGTGGCTCTTTAGCCTATCTCATATCTTCCCTCACCATTTGAGCAAATACCTTACTCATTGAAATCCCGGCGATATCGACTGCGCTTCCCGTGTTGAATTGAGTAGTCGATACGCTCGACTCCCAGTGGTTGCCAAGATCAGCTTGTGAAGATGATTCCTTAGCATGGTGAGATCTTCCATCCCCTTGGAGTTGAAGGGCACACTCAAGATTCCACAGGATGTTTCCCATCGTCGGTCGATCCATACCGCATTCTGACAAGCATTTTTCAGCAGTCTCGACGTATTTCCTTAGAGAATCCAGCTTGATTTGCTCGACAATACGAGTATCGACTATCGCCTCTAGTTGATCTCTATCCTTCCTCCTCATTACCCATTCGATTAAATTCACCTTTTCCCTTGGGAGGGATGGATCAATGACAGGCCTACCACAAAGGATTTCGAACATAACCACGCCGAAGGAGTAGATGTCGGATTTCTCAGTCAGTTGTTGCGTTGTTAGATACTCGGGATCAAGATAGCCGAAGCTTCCTTTAACTGCTGTACTGACGTGGGTCTTGTCGAACTCGGGGCCGATCTTCGAGAGTCCGAAGTCTGCAACTTTGGCCATGTAGTTTTGATCTAGAAGAATGTTTGCAGTTTTGACGTCTCTGTGAATGATTGCCTTTGCAGAGCCAGTGTGAAGATAGTGAAGCCCCCTGGCTGAGCCGATGCAAATCTCAAGCCTTTGTTTCCAGCATAAACTTGGAAGTTCAGATCCATACAAATGGTCCTTGAGAGTCCCTTTTTCCATGTATTCGTAAATTATGATCATCTCATTTTGCTCGTCGCAGTACCCGATCAGAGACACCAAATGACGGTGGCGGAACTGGGATAGCATCTCGATTTCGGTTCGGAACTCAGCAAGACCCTGCTGAGATTTCGATGCCCCTCGTTTCACTGCCACTTCCGTGTTGTCCCTCAACATTCCCTTGTAAACTTTCCCAAACCCACCAACACCAATGGCTAAACTTTCACTAAAATAATCTGTAGCTTCCTGAATTGCTGCGAGAGGATATCGATAACCGATTTTCGAATTCGAAAAGGCGGTAGATCCAATATTATAGTTGCTTTCTTTTCCATTCACACCAAAGTTGTCCTCTTCCTTCAAGTGACCAAGGATCATGGATCTCCTTCTTCTTCTACACAACAATATGACAAGAGTGGCTGAAACAGCAGTAGCAACAAACAGCCCAGCAACCAAGCCTGCTATAAGACCAACTTTCATTTTGGAACCTCTCTTTGAGTGTAAATCAAGGGGGGGTTCATTAAGGCTACCCCGAGAATCGCTGATTTTAATGATCTCGAGCCCGTTAAGAATGGCACTCGATAAGGTATGCTGATAAGTCGAAGAGCCAACACTTATTTTGAACTTAGAGCTTTCAGTTGGACTGGCTATGGTGTCCAAGACATAGGGTGCACCTAGGATGCTTGAAGTGAGATTACTAAGGTCAAAATGATCTTTAACCTTCCATGAGTTCACATAAACATTGAAGAACAACGATCCAAGAGAAGGGCTTATAATATCACAGAAATGAAAACGGATCAAATATTCATACCCCGGATCGACGTCAAAAGACCATGTTATATTAACATTAACATTCAAATCCATCACCTCAGGATCTAATTGAGTCGCGGTCCCATAGACAGAACGAGGAGCCTTAAGTTCAGAGCCTGCAGTCATATTCACTCTCGTGATATTCGACACAAACTTCCCGACAATAGCCCGATCATTATGAGTCAAGAACGGACCATCTGCAACCCAAAGGCGTGAGAGAGTATCGTCACTTGGAAACACCGTTTCGTTCCCCATATTCACTCTAGCAACAGTCTCCAATGCCCTGTTCCCCAAACTTGCCACAAGTTTCTCAACAGTCGGGGCATCCAGGGGAATCAGTTCATCAGGGACAGAAACAACTTCCAATGCATTGATGAAGGCAAATGAGTCCGCCATGGGAGTGAATGTGAGAACAAGGTTACTGGAAGTGACATTCAGAGAGTATTCCTTGATTACCGAGCCGGTTTCGATCTGAAACTCTTTGAGAAGAGTTATATTTTGAGCAGAAACTGAGAATTTGGCTAAACTCAAGTTGAAGTTTCCAGAAACAAAAGGGTAAAAGTAGAGGCGGATCCAGTGTCTGCCCTGTTTCTTCAATTTGAAGTTGTATTTGGAGGTTGTTTCAAATATTCTTGCGGTTTCAAAGAGAGGTGAGAATAAGGAGAATGGAGATGAACTAGATACTTTGCTTGTAGTGGAAATATATGTTTTATTTGGGTCTGAAAGAATACCAGAGAACAAATCATCAGAAAGGAATTGGCGTTTTCCTACTGTTTTGTTTGAGGACGATCCAGAATCGATCAGAAAATTATCATCAGGAGTGAATTGTGATGAGAAAGATGATGATAAACACAGAGCACAGAGAACCCGGATGAGAAAATAAGCATTCCCAGCTCTCATGGCGGCAATATGAGACTTGGAATGGGGAAGAAGATGATCAGATTGCAGAAAAGAAACTGAAAGAATCGGATTGAAATAAAACGAATCCGAGAGCCAAAAATACAAGTGAGTGAGCGAAAGAATCAATCACCCAGAAGGAAGCCGCCATCAGAGCAATCATCCGCCATTAAAGCAAATGCAAGAAAGGAGAAGCAAACACTCAATCCGATTGCCAAGATAACAAGAACCCAGAAGCAATTCTCAGAAAAACAAGTGAACGAGCAAAAAAGGAATCACCTCAATCTTCAACTCAAAGAGAATCCATAATCATCCGCCATTAAAGCAAAGAGTAAGAAACAACCCAGAAGCGTCTCACTCTAATTATCAGTCAGCATTAGGCAAAAAAAAAACCCCAAGTCAATGAAAGCAATCACACAAGCCAGATCGATAAAAGACTAGAGAAATCGGTTCGATTTTCAATTTCAAATCACCAAACGGCGAAACGAAAAACAACCCATCACGTTATGTTTGACGAATTCACAGAATGCGACTGAAAAAGCCAAAAGGGGAGCAGATTTGGATAAGCAAAAAGTGGGGTCAAATCAAAAGTAGTTTGAATGAACGAAGAACTGGATGAGAGAGAAGGAGGAGGACAGCTATGGCGATCGGTGGCTCGAAGCGAAGAAGGCCCATAGGCCCACAGTTGGTGGAACGGCCATGGTTAGGTATGAAAATGGCGGAGAAGCTTCGTGCTGGTGGGAAACAGTGGAAAGGATTTGAGGGAATATTTTTGTCCGGCAAAATAATTAATTAAGAGAATTTTTTTCTTTTTTTAAATCCTATTTTGATTGTAGTTTCAGCTTTTGTCTAGGCCATGTGCTATCAAAAGATGGTGGACTGGTGGTTTCTCAATTGTATCCTTACTTCTTAAACCTCACCTCTATCTAGAAAATTAACGTTTTTTAAGGTTTAGAGGGTAAATATCATTCAATTGAATCTGTAACTCAAACTATAATTGAGAGTCTACCATGGTTCACGGCGAATGAAGAGTAGAGTCCTCTCAACAATTAATTCTGATTACCTTTATCGAGATCATAGGTGAATTGCGTAAAGGCTTCTAATTTGACAAATTGAACTAATTCCAATTTTAATTTTCCGAGTACTTATTTCATGACTTTAATTTGAGCTGCATATCCTACTCTGGAGACGGAAATACCCACATTAATAGCAGGTCTAATTCCAGCATTAAATAGATCAGCAGACAAGAATATTTGTCCATCGGTAATGGAAATTACATTAATATGAATATAAGTCCAAACATCTCCCGATTAGGTCTCAACTTTTGATAAAATAATCATACTTCATTCACCTAAAGGAGAACTTGGTTATCAAATGCAAAGATAGAGAATGCTTTTTTTACTAAAAGATATGCTACTTTGTTGAATTTCTACCAATATGCAAAAATTGAATTAACGTGAAAGAGTGAGCTAATTGAACGACATCAAATATCCAATTATACTAGTTCTTCGAAATTGTATGTATCTCGATGATTACTGGATTGCAATCAAAGAATCAGATTCTAACTTAAAAGTTGGTGCAATTGATGTTTTTTTTTGCAAAGCGGTCACCGCTAAGAATTGTCAACAATTCAACTTGCAAAAGGATACGTGAAATGTGAATGATTTCTATTTTTGCCAATTTCAATTCGTCTAAGGGATTACGTAGGATAATGTCAAGATCGCTCGTTGAATCCTTTCAATTGCAACGTACAACATATGTATTTATATTCATCATTCCAGTTGGAGGTAGAGTCCAATAGAGTTAAAAGTGCTCTTATAGTTATTTATAAAATTATAATACAAATCCTTTCGATATTTAAAAAAAAAAATCATACTTTGTTATATTTAGTTGAATTTATGATTAAAAATAAAATAAAAATACTAAATTGTTCACTTGCTAAGAATATAGGGTTGAAATCAGATATTTTAATAGTAATCGGAAATAATTAGACAAAACCTAAAAATACAAAAATAATAATCGACATTTTAAAGATCAAAATGAAAATAAACTTGCAAATACATACATGATATACCAATTACTAAAATATGATTTTAGTGAGGCAAAAAAAAAAAAGGTATGATTTAAACTCCCTTTTTTTTTTTTTGGTTTTATAGAGTAAATAATAATGAATATTGAAGAGAAGTTGTCGATGTCATAATAGCGAAATAGCGCGTTTTTTGCCAAAGCTGTGCTTGAATGATACGGACGGAGACGGCACTGTTTGAACTTTTTCTTTCTATTTTCTGCCAAACATCCTTTCCAAGTGTCGCTTCCTACAATATCCTTTCTGTTTTTTTTATTTGTTAAAAAAACTTTTGTTTTTATTAAATATTTAAATTACAAATTTGGTATTATTTTGAAGTATAAATGTTTTTTGGAAATTTATTTTTATTATTATTATTTTTCTAAAACAAATTAGGGATAGGGATATGTGAGCTTGAACATCCGACATGAGAAAATGTAAATTACTGTCGAGTTATATTTATGTTTTTGTTTTTAATATTAAATCTTAAAAAGTAATCATTTTGATTCTCTTACTACTAATAATGTTTTACCTTTTCCAATGTAAGTTTCAACTAATTTATGTCGCTATATTACATACCACCGCAACAGTATCTGCATTACTATTGGTAAGAACAGCCTAAAATATTACGTTTTTAAATTTTAAACAATAAAATAGACATCTTGAATATACGTACTTAAAATCACGTTATTTATTTGTAAGAACACCCTAAAATAGGTGATTTTTTTTTAGAGTTTAAAGAATAAAATATACATTTTGAATGTTGGGGACCAAAATGACCTTAAAATTTTAGAACGAACGAGGTTTGAACATTTATGTAAAATATTAGGCAGTACATAGGTCAAGTAGGGAGATATTACTATCTCCCTATTATGGATTGTAGGTATGAATGTCTATCTTTATAATAAATCGTGAATCTTCACCATACAGAGTACTTTTATGACATGAAATTTGAATAAGATAATGCAATGTTGTAACCAACTGAACAACATTACAGAAATGCATTTTTGAACAATTAGATAAAGTGCCATGATCGTGTTTCATCATACATGAGAGCTACAGAGAAGTATAATTTAAAGTTTTGTTATTTGAGGATATGACTGAACTTTTTTAAAATTTCAGGACTAAGTAAAATGATTGTAGCATAAATTTGGTCCATATGAAAAAAAACACAAAAATATTTAAATTTACAAATATAGTAATATCCATAAATTATAATTACTCATGCATTTGAGTTTAGACATATGAAGGAAGTTATTTATGAGAATTGAGATATGACAATTTAGCATTTCAACGGGTCATTTGATATATATATATATGAGAATTCAAATTCATGATATTTTAATTAAAAATAAGTACCTAATCAATTGAGTTAGGTTCAATTCGACGTTATTCAACCTATTAAAAACGCGTCATATACCTTAATAATAATTTTAATAATTATTGAATCCTATATAAGATGATATCGAGTAGATCTTGACCCTTCCAAATAAAAATAAAGGAAAGTGAGTTATACAGCTGTAATATATATATATAATTTTAAAATTGCAGAATATGATTATTTAGCACGTAGTCTAAAAAATAAAAAGTTTCCATTATTAGTTTTAAAAAAGCATTGGGAAATACGCAAATAAATTATTAGGAATTAAATGATAAATTAGAGAAATTAAAAAAAAAAAAACCATTAATGATCTTCAGCGATACAGTTTGATTAAATCACGGTATTAAAGGCAGAATGAAGACCAAAATGTTTTCAACGTTCTAATTCCCACGGCAATTCACAAAAACCATCCTTTTATTTTATCTTATTTGTCGTGTTTGGATGACTGAGAATTTTCTTATAAATTATTATGTCAAAATCTTAAATAATTTAACACATGTATTTAATGGGAAAATTGGTTGAGATGGGACAACTAAATTTTTGTTTTTTTTTTTTAAAGTTTTGAGTAAATGTTCTATAAAAAAGCAAAAAAAAGTTTGGAGTACATGTTGATTTTAGTATAATTTAAGTGAATAAGACACGTCAACTTGAACTTGAACTCAATTGGTCAAGATATATTTGATTAAAACGTCGTGAATTCGAAACTCAACCCGTCTACAATATTGTATTAAAAAAATTGATAAGATACTTATTAATTACTATTTCACCGTTGAAATATGTACACAAATTTTAATAATTTGATATTTGCAAATTCTAATAGTTTATTCTAATTTCATAAACAAACCAAAATAAGGCATAAATATTTTTTGTTTGTTATAAAACCAAATATCTTAAAAATTTATCTCATAAAGATATCTTAAAATTTAAAGTATTTTTAGAGAAAAAAGTATTATTAGTGACTTGATTTTTTTTCCCATCTCAAAAATCACATTAAACTCATCGGGATAAAAATTATGTTTTCAGTGGTTTGTTTTTAAAATGCGTCTAAGTGTATTAAAAAAAAAGGTGACCAACAAAATTTATTTCAAAAGATAATAAATAGATGGGTTAAATTTATAGCACTAGTGTAATTTTGATTTGTCTTTAGAAGTAAAAGACAATCGACAGAACATTTTCAAATTGAAATCAAATTAAATTTTCAAAGTCAGTTGAGGATGTGGCAAATTTTCGATCCACAGGACACTGCAAATTGTAATTAAAGGGTTTATTGTAGTTGTTGACGTGGTAAATTATATTAATTAAATAATATATGTGTAGATGATGATACCTTTTCTCTCTCCTCCTCTAATTTCTTCCGCTCTCTTTCTCATATCATTTTCCCACTACCACCATGTCTTTGCCGCTGCCGTTTGCTATTCATACTAGACATAATCATTTAATTACAATTTGCGATGTCATTTTAATATTAATTAATTAATGGTAAAAAAACCAGTGATCATTTAGAACTATTTCTCAAATTTCAGGGACCAAAAGTATTCATTTTAAAATTTCAGAGACCAAATAAACATCCACCTCAAACTTCAGAGATCAAAAATGTATTTTGTCATAAAATTTATCACTATTAATCTATTGTCYCAAATGTGCAATTTTAGTTAATTTTTAATGAATATATATAATGAGAGGATATATTAAAATAAAACTTAGAGATATAATTATTTGTTAATTGTCAAATAAGTGACGAAGGTGTTAACAACACATCTATTATTTTATTTTTTATTTTTATTTTGGAAAACCATCTATTATTTTAAATTAAACTTTAGTGATCGTTAAAGTCATTGAAAAAGACAGCTATTTGGTAGTTAAAAATTAGACCAATAATAATAGTAATAATAATAGGCAATGTATAGCTTTTAAGTTTCAACTAAAAGTCAAATGTCAACTCCCAATGCCTTACACGAGGTTGAATTGAATGGGTAATTTTTATTTTTTCTATTGCAGGTAATTAAGGACAGCGAAGACTTAAAAGGTATATACATGTTAATCGTGACATATGAATAAAAAAAGTTACATGAACGAATCGATATCACGTTGGAGAGAAATCATAAGATCATGCAAACTTAACTAAAAAGATACTTAAAATAATTTATAGTTACTACTTCGTGTAATAAAAGGAATACAAATAAAAGTAAAATCAAATAACAAAATCAAAACCAACCAGAGACTAAATTAGCTAGTTAAAATAAGTTCACACGATGAAGAAAACAATCAAATATATACTTTGTCTATCAAAACCATTATGTTTTTCAAATCCAATGACTAAGGACTCGTTTG